CTGGCCTTGGACGCGGGCTACGGGTCGCAGCAATGTGCTGTGCCGTGCGTGTGGCTTGGATTGGGCCCTCACCTGCACATGCACTGGGACCGCCTGAACGATGCTGCAAAAAGGTCCGCAGCAAAAAAAAAAAACATCCTGAGTGGCTTTGACGTTGATGTCCCTTTTGTATAATTTTGTATTAATTTCCTTTACTGCGCGCGAAGCATTGGGATCCGGAGCTCGGCCGAGGCGGGCCCCAGCGACTGTGCGTGTTAGCCGCAGAGGTCAAAGGGGTCGTTGGAGCGACGAGGCCCAACAGTTCGTGCCTCAGCTGCGCAGGGTTGGGCGCGCCGCTGGTGGAGCATTCTGGCTGTTGCGGTCCAGCATGCTGTCTGCAGTGCTGTCCTGGGCACGTGGAGCACGCCGGCGATCCCAGGAAACGCTGAGGCCAACCCTTTGGCAGGCGTGTTGGACCTCGCGCTGCCAAGCCGGCTGCCGCTGCGCGAGACCATGCTGCACAGCGCATGACAGAGGTGCTGCGCCGAATGGGGCAGCCCGCTCTTGTGTGCATGGCGTGTGGGGAAGCGGGGACTAACGCTAGGATCGACAGCGGGGAAACAGGCACCTGCTGGCGGACGCGCGCCATGTGTATCCTGTGGCTGAAAGCCGCATGCCGCTGCGCGCCGAGATCGAGGGCGCCCGCAGTTTGTCGGTAGCTGCTTCAGCCGACCAGGGACAGACAGCTGCGAGAAAAAGTCCGAGGGGAAAAAAGGCGCGTGAAAAAAAAAGAAGAAACCGCTTTTCAATGAGTGCATTTTGTGATGTCATCAGTGTTGCCATCTTTACAGTATGTGTGAAGCCATTCTTGTTTCACATGTTCATGGCCATGACCCATGGTCGTTCAGAAGTTCGCCTTTCGTCCGTCATGCGCATGACCTTTTGCTCGGCAAGCTGCGCGGCACACGGCAAAGAAGGCATTTTGGCTCAAACCATTTTGGCTCAAGACCCGGATTTTGGCTCAAGAAACTTGCTTCAAGCTAGCGGCGGGGTAGCCACTGTCGGAGAGGGCATAGCCCGAGCGCAATACTGCCGGTTTTGGCGAGCCTGTCGCAATGGTGCTGGTGGGGCTACTCGGCCTCTTCTTCCGCCTTGTCTTTTGCGGCATCCCTCCCGAGGACCTGCCGCGAGAGTTTGGCCCACGCGGCCTTGACCTGTGGCGGGGCCGCTCCCACTTACCTCACGCCCGGTTTCGCCCCGCTTCACTTAAGTTGGGGGTGGCTGCTGGTGGGCGTGCTAGTGGGCGTGCTGACAAGCTGGTCGGGCGCGAGGGCGAGCCGGTGGTTGGCCCCCGAGCCGGCGGCTGGTCGAGATGCCACGCGGAAGGCGGCGAGGCGGAAATCGTGGCTCTGGCAGCGCAGGCGGGTCAACCGCCCCTGACACTGCTTTGCCGCCTGCTCCAGGCAGCTGTGCCTGCGCATGCCGGCGGCCAGCCGCCCACTACGGCGTGCGCCAAAACCAGGCGGGAACCGCCGGCTGCTCAACCACGACGCCGCCGCCCCAACACGAGGCAACAGTGACATTTGCATGCATGGGGGACATTGCTTGCATAAGGTTGCATGTCAGCTTGCTTGCCGTCAAAAGACCGTTTTGCACCCGCAGCCTTTGCAGTTTCAATTTTGCCCTCAAGGCCGCTGTCAGTGCAACATGGCAAACCAGCTCTGCTCCGCTTGCCACCAACGACTGCCGGATGCTCACGGGGGCGCAGTGGCAAGGCTCTTGTTTGGATGCGCACGCCTTGGAAGCAATCGCGGACCTCTCCTCTCCAACGGGGACGGGGCGTCGTGACAGCCGGGAGCCCTCCCGAAGCCGCAGCCGCAGCCCTCCAGCGCATGACCGCCGAGGCAGGCACCGGGCCGGAGCAAAGCATCGCGAGGGCAAGGGAGCAGGCAAAAGTGGTGGCAAAGGATCTGGCAGAGGCGAAGGGCATGGAGGCAATGCAGGGCGTGGAGGACATGGCAACCGGGGAGTCCCGAGGGATATCCTCCAACATGCGGCGGCCATCCTGCAGCACGCGGCCTCCTGATCCGAAGCCTGAGCCAGCACAGCATTTTTTACACAGGGTATTCTCCTTTACCCAGGCACCAGGTGATAGCAGCGAGGCAGGCCGCGGCCTACGTCTCACCCGGCCGCAGGCCCGCAGATGCTCGAGAGTCGGGCTGTGAGCGCGCACCACGTGGCGGGCTCGCCCCGCGCTGCCGCGCATGATCACTTCTACGATTGTTCGGAAGACGCGCCTCCACACGCCGACGCCGCCCTGTGCATGGCGCCGCCCAACAGCGACGATGAGGACGCACGATCGGAAAGGTCTGCCCCGACCATGCCGGACACGCCCCCAGCAGTGGCGGCGGACAGTGTGCCGCTCTCTTGGTTCTACGTGCCTCTCCTCTTGCACGCAGCCGGGCACTTGGACAGCGGTCGCGCGCGCCAGTGGCTCGCACATTCATCAGGCGGAGAAAAATGGAACCAACTCACGGGTGCACTGGCGGCGGCACAACTTGTTTGTAAGCACAGACTCCTGGCTTCGGTGCATGCCGCGGGCCTGGCCGAAGGCAGCAGCGCGGATGAGGTCGTGCGTGTTTGCACAAACCTGGGCAACCTGCCGCCGCCTGTTGTCTCATTGCCGGAAGCCGTCGAGGCGGTGGCTGGCGAAGGCGGTTACCTGCGCGCCGCCGCCCAATCAGCCTTTGGGTTTGGGGTATTATCAATGTACTCGTACATTGTCCACTGGGGTGGCTTGAGGCCGGAGCACGTGTTGCGCGCGGACATGCACAACGATGTCCCTGTCGCCGACGGACGGCGCATTGAGGTCGTCGCCAATGACCCGGCCCTTGAGGCATGTTGGTCACAGCTCACCCTTGATGCCACCAAGTTGAACAGTGCTGCGGATCATCATCCCGCTTGCCGCATCTTGGAAATCCTGTGCTTCTGGAGCTGCACCTACGAACTGAACGGATCGGGTGTTCCTGCGAACTGAACGGATTGGGTGTGCATTTTTTTTTTGTTTCCTTGCACCTTCCGAGTTAAGTTAAATTACGTAAATGTAATCAGCAGGAACCAAGATTATTACGCTGGCTGTCACCTTTTTGCCCCCAATTATGCCCCGTACGTAATGGTGTGTTGGACTTCTGGGTCTTCTTGGCAGTCCGGGGAAGGGTCTTCAATTATCCGGTGCGCAGTGAATCTCCTTCATTGCTCACCGGTTCTTTGCTCTTGAATCAAAATTGCGACATCTTCTCATTGTGCCTTATGCCCTCTGGGTCTGGCAGCATCGGGCCAGGTCCGTCGTCTCTCTGACTTGGACGGGTACCGCGCAAGAAACAAACGGCAGGTTTTCATGGCAGTGGCAAATTCGCTGCGCCTGCCTCCTGGTGGAGTTCCTTTGGGAGGTCCGAGGTCCATGACGCAAATCACCAACATTTTTTTGTAATGTAGGTCACACATAAGGGCTATGAATTGTTTTTTCCACGCTCCCTTTTACCGCCATGGTCCCGAGGTCCCGCTGCAGCACGTCCCAAAAAATCGAAAGCATGCATGGGGGACACCCCTTTGCTTTGAGAATTTTCGGGTTGCATGTGAAATCGTTTGCCGTCGAAAGAACGTCTTGCATCCGCAGCCTTTGCAGCATTTGTTTTGCGCACAGTGCCACCACTCGTGCAACACGGCCAACAACCTTTCTTCCGCTTGCCGCTAGCCGCTAGCGGCCTGCATACGGGCCGGCACCATGCACACCATTCGCGGCCATCCAGAATCCACAGACTCCAGTGCTTGGTTTATTCCGGAGTGTTGCCGGATGTTGACCGAGGAGCAGTGCCAACCTAGGAGTCCCGAAGGCATCCTCCAATGTGCAGCGGCCATCCTCAAGAACACGGCCTCATGATCCGAAACTTGAGCCGGCACAACATGTGTGTTTTTTTGGGTTTTTGAATTTTGAAGGATATGAGCGTACCCATGCACCAGGTGTTCGCATCGCCCCCAGTAGTGCCATCAGAGTTTGCCAATGTAGTTGTTCGAGGCACCCACTTGACGCCACCACTGGCACTTGGGTTGTGCAGCACGCATTATCGCAAACAACCGTCGTATCGGCAGCACGGTTTCAAACATCTTGCGCTGGACTTGGGTTTGCAACCGGGATTCGCCGCCAGCTGCATTGCACCACACCGAGCCCGAGCCCGACCTTTGTTTTGAGCAAGCGCTTCCGCCAATTGGCAGCAGACCCCCACCAACCCACAGTTGGTTCTTCGTTCCGAGCTTGCAACCTGAAGCAGAGGCAACACGGGAATCAGACGCCGATTTGGAGCTGTGTGGCGGCACCCTGTCGCAATGTTAATGCACGCTGGACCCGTCATGCCGGATGCTTTGTAGCCCTCGTCAGCACATTCGACACGCTGCAGCCGCTAGCTACAGCAGACGGCCGTTGTGGCAGTGTTTCCTTGGCGCAGCAGAGGGACGTGGGACACGTCTTTGCAGGCACCGGAAACCTGAGAGTGAGCCACGTAACGGAAACACTTCAATACTTCCTTGTTAGGCCACGAACACAAAACACGAGCGCAAACAGAAAAAATCGAAATACAATTCATTCGAGAGGTTATGTACGTGAAGTGGAGATTTGCACCACCGCGAACATGAAGAAACGATTGATTAACAAAACTGGTTCATCAATTGGGTGATTGATTATTTCGTTAGTGGATTTGATCTTTGTGTGATTGATTGATTGATTGAGTGAATGAATGATTGACTGACTGACGGACTGACTGACTGACTGACTGACTAGTTGTTTGGTTGGTTGATTCATCGATTATGTGATTGATTGACGGACTGATTGATTGGCTGATTGACTCATTGACCTGGCTGATTGATTGATTGCTTGATTGATTGACTGACTAATTGATGGATTGATTGATTGAGTTTTTTTGCCTTGATTGCTTGATTGATTGACAGGGTGATTGAACTATGCCCAGGCATTGCCAGCTCACCCGCGATACAAGATGCTGAGCCAGAACAGGCGTGGGGTCCTGTTACACTTGGGGCTTGTGGGTTTCCTCATCGGTGGTTGTCAAAATTATGGTCCCTTTTTGGGTACCCTAAATATTAGGTGTGTATAATAATAGGGATCCAAATAGGGACCATAATTCTGACAACGACCCCCATGTGCCCCTTGTCAACACATATCTTGTGTGTTTATTTGCTGGCAAAGTTAGATTGTTCGTGTTGTGTTGCGCGGGAGGCTCCCAGGCGGCCGTATGCCATTGTGGTAGCGGGCGCGACAGGTTTCACAGGAGATGTGTTTGGCACCTTGATGTTTGGCATGTCGCCTATCCATGTATCGAATGCAGGACGTTTGATGGTTGAGCATTTGGACGCCATCTATACGGCTGGGCAGGCCATAGTGCTAAGGGTGCAATACCAGAAGCAAATTGCGATGACCTGATCGGGCTGGTCCAGGAGACTTGCATCAAGTACTCCACTTGTTGTATGTCAGGCTAATTTTTTGAGGTCAGGTCTGGTTGCTTGTGTGCCCGAAGGGCGGTCCTTGCAAGGCACACGGATTGGGGTTATATATCAACATGAAACCAAATCACAAGCGGCACAAGCCTTTGCACGAGGAGTTGTTCGCACACCTTGCCAGCGAGCTCTGCTTGCGAAAGTGCTTGTTTCTTTCTTGCTTTGCATTCCGGTCTGCATAGAAAAAGAGCCTTCAATACTCAATGGTCGTATGGTGGGTCAAACGGGATGCGCTTCTCACCATCCAGGCCGACGCCAGCTCGAAAAAATGGGCAATTGCTGGCCGGAACCTCAACAGGCAGGTCTGAGATGTGAGTTCTTTTGTGGCCTTAGCCTATGCTCATTTGACGGGAAGCATGGTATTGATGCTGTTGCCGGTTTATCTTGTCAAGCACGGCTACTCGTGTGGCATATGTTTTGTACGTGTGCGTGTGGTTTTGCGGTCACCTGGTTGTTCATCCCTAGTTGGCGACGATGTTCGTTTTGGCGTTTCTAGCGCGACTGGACAGTATAGTGATTAATCGCATCCCCCTAATATGAAACGACGTCCCCTCCCCGCCCCGTAATATTACATAATCTGGGCCCCGAGAGAAATTCATTAATGTAAAGGGGGGGGGTATTTATTGAAGGAATTAGATAGGGTTACGTTTAAACTCCGTTCAATTTCCTGGAAGATGAACAGTTATTTAAACTAATTGACGAAATTGAATAACTAAATACGTACTTCTTGAAATCGAATTAAGATACATCTAAAATCAACTGGAAGTTAAGTAAAATTCCATTCTAAAATCAATTGAAATCTGATTAAAATTCCGTTTGAAATCAATTGAAATCGAGTTAGAATTTTTCTGTCCATTTAAAATCAATTAAGATCCAACATAATTTAAGTAAATTCCTTCTAAAATCAATTGGAACTGAATTAAAATCATCTAAAATCAATTTGGATTTATCTGAAATTCCATTTCCATTTAATATCAAGTGAAATCTAATTAATTCCTTTGAAAGCAATTGAACTCATTAAAATCATCTAAAATCAAACTGAAATTCAATTGAAATTCCTTTAAACTCAATTGAAGTCGAATAAAAATCCCGTTAGAATCAATTGAAATCTACTTAACATTTCTTTTCAAATCAATTAAGATCGAATTAACATCCTGTCTAAATCAATTGAAGTTTAATTACACTACTGAAATATTGACATTTAAAATTCCTTTTACAATCAAATGAAATCGGATTTCAATCACGTCAAAATCAATTGGAATCTACTTAAAATTTCTTTCAAAACCAACTGAAATCGAATTAGCATCCCGTTAAAACCACTTGAACTTTAGAGGAAATTCACTGCAAACTCATTGAAATCGAAGTAAGATCCTGTTAGAATCAATTGAATTGAGATTTACTTGAACTTCTCTCTAACATCAAAGAACAGATAGTTGAAATTTCATTAAAACCAATTGAAATCGAATTAAGATACTTTGAAAACCCATTGAAATCTGATTTAAATTCCTTTTTTAAAATCCATTGAAATCGATTAAAATCGATGTAAAATCAATTGAAATCGAATGAAACTCAATTGAAATTTAATCAATTCGGCTAAACTTGTAACAAGAATCAATTAAAGTCGCATTCAGCTCTTGTATATAAAGCCCGTTATTCAAACCGTATGAAAACTGTCAAAACCTAGGAAATGAAGGGGATCCCTGATTCCTTTTAAAAGTAGTTTTCCCCTTTTAGAAGTCATCTTCTGAATTCTTAGGCCTCTGAATTTGTTATTTAATATTAGGAGGGATTTAATATTGGGGGGGAGGGATTATAGTGGTCAGACAACCCCCATGCAAAAATGGCCGCTTGGACGCCCATTCCAATAAATGGTGCAATGGCCATCCCAGCCGAAGAATTGTTCGGAACAAATTCTGCAATGCCAGATGCAGAATGAGAATGCTTGTCGGATGGCAGGTTGCGGAGTCTAGCCTCTTCTTGCCGATCTTCGCCAGACGTGCTTTTAGCAGACAGTGACGCTTCTCTGGAAGAGGTTCCTTACATGTCTTTTCTTTTGCCCGGGTTCCTCATATGGGTTCCCTAAACGATCCTAACAAAAGCAATATCCAATAATAGTGCTGTGGATGAAGCTTGGTTGGTGTTGCGTGGAGCCACTAATTCCCGGTTGAGCAAATCGTTGTGTCTTGAGCCATGATGCCTGCTGTTGTCGTTGCCGAGCTTGGAGCCGCATGAGTGCAAACACTGTGTGTTGCAATTTTCTGGTCATAATAGACGTATTTCTAGTAAGCTGTGCAGGTTGCCCGCCAGGCCATCGTCCTCGTAGCTGCGGCAGGCTTGCGCAAGAGGATCCTTTACGGGCTACTCACCACTCTTCCCAATACTGGTGACTGGTAAATGATCCAAATTTCCGCCGCGAAATGTAGAATCGTCTCCGGTTTCGACAGCCGCAGCGGTACCATCCCATCACGTGTGCACAACATCAGTTTCAATATGAGATGCATGCGTCGACGCAGGCCCATACTCCCAATGTGGAGAAATGGTCACTTGGCATCACAATGTGGCAGAGCTTGCAGTGTGGAGATGTGTGGAGTTCCGGTTTCCATCAGTTTTTTTTGCAGGGTCCAGAAACCCCGAACTAACGTCCGTGCACAGTGTGGAGTTGAGAGTGTTGGTGGTTGAGCAAGGATAGCAGATTTTTGTTGTTTCGAACTGCGTGAGGCAGGAACATGACTTTACATGCGAGATTCGGGCAGCACTTGGGAAATCATTCGTGGGTGAGATGAGGCCGTCCGCGCTTGTGTCAAAAGCAAGACGCACTATGTGGCCTGGCTGCATTCAAGCGCTTGCTGACATGCATTGTGCATGAAGATTGTCGGATGTTTCGGAGTTGCTGTTGGGGGGATCATGAGGCACAACATGGCACAACATCCCGAATTCAACATCCGTATCACAGATAGTGATACTGGAATTGTAGGCAACGTTTTCACGCATAACTTGAGGGACTGGGACCACGGAAAGAGAGATAAGAATGATAGTATGAGTGTGTGTGCCAATGCTAGCGTGCCAGATGGAGAGATGCAGGGGTAGTTGTTTTTTCTTACTGCGTCCAAATCTGTGGCGTGTGTGGGTGATGTGGCTCTTCAAGGTTTAGGGTCTGAGGGTTTCAGGGCGTTGGGTTTAAGGGTTTCGGTGTTGAAAGGTTTGGAGCTTCGGCCTGCTAGGCCCCCATCCCTGCTCCAAAACTCTAAACTCCTAAACGCCAAGCCCTCCCTCTTGGCCCCTCAAGCCATAAACCCGAAGCCCCGTCACCTGTCCTGACGCTTCGGTAGCGCATACTTCGTCACGCTAGCAGCATTTTAAGGCCTTGGGTTGCTGATGGCATGCGCTTTTTGTATCAGGTTTATGTGCACCAAGTTGCTGGAACCTCTGGATGGCACTGTAGAGAGAGACAGTATTGGTAAGGAGGTGACGGCGGCGGCAGCGGTGGTGGTGGTGGTGTGGTGGTGGTGGTGGTCGTGGTAGTGACGGGTAGTGGTGGTGGTAGGAGTACCGTAGCATTAGCTAGTACTAGCCAGTAGTACCTGTAGCATAAGAAGTAGTACAGTGGTGGTGCATACCAGTAGAAGCACAGAGTGATGAAGGCTCGTAGCCGGAAGTAGCAAGTGGTATAGGATAGTGGGACCATGGTAGTCGAGGAGTGAAGCACCAGTAGAACAATCGAAATAGCAGTCGCCGTGCGGCGCAACTACAGAAGAACTTGTGTCTTGAAGACTCACGCTGCTGCTGCACTTGCTGCATATGCTGCTGCTGCTACGACTGCTTCTAGTGCTTCTACTGCTTGTTCTGTTTCTCCTGCTTCTTGTGCTTTGGTGCTTCTTCTGCTTTAGTTTTTCTCCTGCTTCTACTCCTTCTTGTAACTCTACTTCTTCGACTTCTTGTATTTCTACTTCTTCCGCTGTTTTTATTCCTCCTGCCTTTTTGGTTTGTCATGCTTCATCTTTTGCTTCTACTTCTGCTTTTGATTTTGACCCGTCTTCTACATCTACCTCTACATGTACCTCTACTTTTCCTTCTGCCTCTGTTCTTGACTCTTTTCTACTTCTAGCATTCCTTTCCTGCTACGATGGCTATTTGGATTTTGCTCCCGCTGCAGCTGCTGCTAAAGCTCCTGCTGTTACAAAAACCAAGTACTACTGGTACGCTAGGATGAGTGCTCCTGCCGCCATTTCTGTTGCTGTGATCATTATTTTTGCTTCAGAGATCCTGGGCCGATCCGGCCTGTCTTGGCAGGTGGATGTTTCTGGCGAGACAATTTGGATGCAGAATATGCTCGAGCGTTCGGCGCCTACTCTTATCCTTGTTCTTAGGGGGTTTCAGAACTGTGAACCCCGTAGAGATTCAATTGTGGGCCATGCCTGTGCAGAATTCGCCTGATCTGTGAACGTTCTCTCCATGATGGCATGCTCTCTTCGTTTCAGAATACAGCAACAGGATTGGCTACATATGCCGAGGTTATCACGAGGAAGCCAAAGAGAAAGGTGTTCTTGTCGTCCAGGCAGCAGCACAGGCTCGGACAACTTGCTGTTGCCGGAGTTCAGGGCCAAGTACAGACGTCCAAAACCGATCGCAGAAGTTGACGCTGGAGAATCTCGCTCCAATTTGGTGTGAGACTAGATGGGAGATGCGAACTTCAGTTTGAAGCCCATAGGAGTCCGTTCATGACGTGCGCAAATCGGACCACCTCAAACCATTTTGGCTTCTGCGAAGGTTTGTGCCATTGATGACATCAACTGCTACCTCTTGGCACAGAAGCTGGGACCGACCGGGCCCTGGTGGGTGCTTGCCGCGACCGCGCTTGTAGTAAGGTCTGATAGAGATTGTTTTTGAAAGAATCACGCTCGAGTTGCCTCTACAAATAGGATTCATTCCTCTGAGTACGCAAGCCCCACCATTCGTGGTACAGCATTTTTTCTGTGTTGTGATCCGTGCAGTTATTGAATCTCCAACACAAGAAGCAGCATGTGCACAGCTGTGGCTGTTCTGGGTGATGAATGTTCCCACCTGTCATATGCTAAGATGATCATGTTGAGCTAGCAATGCACAATGTGCCTCATTGGCCTTGTTTCAAGTGTTTGTTTGCTCATTCGCTCCTGTGGGATTCTGTGTGGCGAATCCTTTGATGTTTCCGAGCCAGTCATCATGAGCTCTGCTGACGGGCAGACGTTTGCAGCACGAGCACATCATGCTTTTGAAGAAGGCCCTCCGAAGCACAGAATATAACATGACAGAGTATATTTCATTATACATTCTACGGAATTGAGCAAAAAAATGTGTGTTCTATTGTGCTATAATATCATGGCATGGCAGCTCAGGCTCCTAAGAACCGAAGAAAGGCTGCCAAGCTACAGAACATTTCGTGGATACCACTCACTGCTGGCTCTGCGTGAGGGGCTGCAAAAAAGCTTGCCCCCTACAAGCAGGCCAGAGCAACAACTGAGCCATAGTTCCTAGTATCCCCCTTTTACCCCCGAAAATACTCCCCAATATTTCTTATTTAATCCGCTTGACGGAGTTTAGACCAGCTCAATTAGCACAACGATGCAACAACCTATGCTACTGCGAGGTTAAAGCAGTTTCGCGAGTACTTCTTCCAGTTGCTTGGCTTGGGTTAAAAGCTTCTGACTGGAGGAACTGCTTGAGGCAGGGATGGCTACTGCTGGGACTGGTTCGAATTTGCAACGTCTTCTCGTTAGAGAAAAGTGAGGAGCTCAAATGTTCTCTTCAGCGCTGCGGCGTTATCAAGTTGCTTGAGAGTTTAAATTGACCCGCTTGGTGGTCTTCAGCAGCGTGCTACCTGACACTGCATGAGCCGGAGTCAAAACTCCTGAAAGGCGGTGATATAAGGCCGTATATCGGGGACCATTATAGGGTTTATAAAGGGGATACCAGGAGTTTGGATTATAACTCACATGATAGATGAAAGCAGTTGAGGGACCCCTCGGCTTACAAGGGCCATTAAGGCGCTGACAGAAGGACTGCTTGTAGTTATCCCGTCCTGGGGAGGGGTCTAGCAACCACTTGGCAAGCCATCCTCAGAGAAGGGCACTGGAGCAGTGCAGACAGCAATCTACCGCTGTATGTGGGTGGTTGTCAAAATCATGGTCCCTATTTGGATCCCCATGATAGTAAGGCACCTAATATTCAGGGTACCCAAAAAAGGGACCATAATTTTGACAACCACCCATGTGCTTCATGGCAGGATTATCTTGTTGTTCCATGGCCTTCTCTTGCAGCCATTCGAGAACTGCTTGAGAGTTTTGAACCATTGTCGACTAGGTACGGTGGGACCACAGGCGGGACCTTTGCTACAAATGCTGCTGGCATGGAGGCGGACGAGGGGTTTGAGCATCATGCATGGAGTAGGTGGCATCATGTAGCAGTGTCAGTGACGAAGACTTGTATGAGGGGTCCTGAAGATGAGCCCGTGGAAAAAGGAAGCAAAAGGGAGAGAGCCTGGCGGTACACCTGAACCTCAGGGTTGAGGGTTACGAGTGCTTATAAAACCTCATAAACCCTTGTAAGTTGTAAGGGCCTGCTTAACAGTGCATAGTCCGCCCCAATGTGCCTGCTGACCGATGCGGGAAGGCCTTACCCCTAAGCTTTTCTCATTTCAGCCGGGGTTTAGGGTACAGGGCCTTGTTCAGGAGGGTTCCTGCAGAAGGCAGTCTCCTGACAATGCTGCAGGGGTGCTTACTGTAAGGGGCATATAGGGCTTCTTTGAGCTGCAGTCTAGACTCTGTAAAGCGGATTGTATAAGGGGAGTTGAGACTATAGCTCATACATGGTTTAGGGACATTACCCCAGAATGGCGAACCAAATGGAAAATGACACGGAAGCTGGGATGTTCCCCAAAGCCTATGCATCCCCACATAAGCTTTTTACAGGGACCTATGTATCCATACACTTACTGGTGGTTGGTAGGGAATAAGGGAATATATCCCTTTATAGTTCCTTTATGACATACTCCCGTATTCCCTACTAACCACCATTAAGTACATTCCTTCACAGGACATGACAGAGGAGAAGCTGAAGGCCTCGAGCCCAGAGTGGGTTGGATGAAGATGGAAGGGAACTTGAAGGTTTTGGAAGTTTACTTGCAGGTTCTTAGTAGGGAACAAGGGAATACATTATATAGGTGTTATAAGGGAATTCTATTCCCTTCTTCACTACTAAGAACCAGTACGTTCAGGATGTTCGGGGCTGAAGATTTAAGATGGGTAGTTTTTCCGGCTTTGGGGGCTGTACATCTAGTCCACTTGGGTTCCGGCAGATTGCGCAGAGCCAGGATGCGAGAAAAATGGATTACGCACATAGCAAGGATCCGGCATGATCTGGACAGCCTCATTGAGCTTCAGAATTCAGACCTGCCCAGGATACCTGTGAATCCTTATGCCTTCTAGACTCCTAAAGCTAGCCCAGACCCCTGGGAGGATCTAGAAAGTAGATCCCACTTATGGGTTCCTGTAAATTACCCAAGAATAGAGCGCCCTTGTAGACCTGAATCAGGCTTGCTGTCATCCCCAGATAACCTTGGTTCTTCAGAAGCTCCCTGCCAACCCTCCGGCCCAAGCCTGAATATCGAAACTCCAACAGTCCCAAACTTCACTCCACCACGCCCAAAAGGGGGTTCGGGTCTAGGGTCCCCGCTTTCGGGTTTAGGGTTAGGGTTATAGGGTTCTCATCAGAGAGTCCTGGTTCAAAAAGGGTTCAGGGTTGACAGAAAATGCCCAGCGTTCCAAGAGTGGGACAAATTTACCAAGTTTTCAGCCCTGCTGGATTTGTGAGAACAAGCTGTCAACCAAAGACAGGGCGGGCAGAAGATATTCAACGTGAGAAGAAAACAAAGGCACTAACTACTGACTGGAGGCGGCAAACTATGCTTTTAAGTAGCTCAGAAGCAAGCAAACAAGACTTCTAAGCAAGACCAAGATTGAAAGGAAAGATAGGTGACCAACTAGACGGACTCCTGGAAGCTTTTCGACTATAAGAGCTGCCGGACTGTGGCTGCTTGAGCAAAGTAGCAAGAAAACAATCTCGGTCATGCGATTGCTTAGCAACCCCTGTGCCATACGTTTTGGCAGCAGAGGATGCTGACAATCTCCCCATGCAGCTGAAGCGCTGTAAGGTGACGTTGTTTTTTTGCGTAATGTGACAACAACAGCACGAAAGCATGCCGAAAGCTTCTGCATGCTGCATGCCGTAAAGACTAATCCCTAAGTGACCCCTGTAGAATCCTTATAGGGGGGGTTCCAAAATTAGGGTCCCATCTTGGCACCCTAAATAGGAGGTGCCGTAATATAATCTGGGTCCATAATTGTTGGGCACAACCCACATAATCCTCTCCCCCCAATATCAGCCCCCCCCACCCTCCCTAATATTAGATATTTCCGATATATTGCATCATACCACAGTGGGGAGTATTTAATATTAGGACCCTAAACCCTAAACCCCCAAACCCCTAAATCCCTAAACCCTAAACCCGTATTTAATATTAGGGGGAGAGGATTAGACCAGGTCCAGAACGATCCCTTCAGCCTCGGGGGCCGTCGGGCCCGGGGTGTGCAGCCCGAAGATCATGCCGGGGCCTCTAGCCAAGGGGTTATAGGGTTTATGGTTTAAGGGTTTAAGGGTTTAAGGGTTCAAGGGCTGGTGAAAAAAGAGTTTATGGTTTTAGGGTTTAAGGGTTTAGGGTTTAGGGTTTTAGGATTTACGGTTCAAGGTTTAGCTAAGGGTTGGGTGTGCGGATTCGAGGCTAAGGCAAGCTGTCTGCAGACCATCCAGGCGAGAAGCAGGATTTAAAGTTTAGGGAGTTCAGGGTTTTAGGGTGTAATTGTTTTGGCTCAACATTTTAAGGTTTAAGATGTTAGGGTGTTGCGGTTGAGGTTGCAGTCAGAAGCTGCGACGACCGTGTGTATATACTCGGCTGGATCCCATGGCAAACCTTGTGCACATGTCTTGTCATCAGATTGATACGCCGCCCTTGCGTTGTTTCTGGCTGCAAATTTTAAAGAGGGGCTCGCCCATCCAACTGTTCAAGTTTCATTCACATGCGTGTGGCCCATCGTTTGTTACCATCCTCGTGGAGCCTCGAAATTGTAAAAAACTGGGTTGCTGTTAAGGAACTTAAGTTAAGTTACTATATTGGGGAAACCTTATTATTTTCTATATATACCCATTATGGTAACTTTTTAAGTTCCTTAACAGCAACCCAGAATTTCATTCTCATTTTATTCACTCCTTGACCTGTCTCATCTCAGGACTGTTCGGAGACGGCGCAGGCCAGCATCAAGCTGCAAATGTGTCAGGGTGCGAATGGTCCCTTCACTGAGCTTTAGTAGGTGTTATTGCATACGAGCTCTAATGGCTAGCCGCGCGGGTTGCGAACATGAAGGCTGAATATCTTTACGTAAAGCCACTGCGTGCAACCGCATCGTGGCCCTGCGCAACATCTTGCCTGGAGTTCTGGGAAGGATCCCATTTACTCTTCCCTCTGGCTTCAGCCGGCGTACAATGGCCACACTGGAGCCGCGGGCACAGGTGTTCTTTGTGACAGTTGTGCCGCACCACGCTTTCAGCAAAAGGACTATGAGGCTTTGCAGGCCGGCGGACCCAAGAGTGATGTCAGGACAGGAAGCACGTTGGCCTTAGCTGTATACTACTACTCGTAGTTTTGCTATATCATTCCTTTTATTGCGACTAGTACTCCTATTTTTCCCATATTTCCTATCAAAATTGTTACGACCATTATACCTATCATTACGAGACCTCAAGCTGAGGGTCGCATTCTCCGACGCAGCTGCCAGCTCTTTGAAGAGGCTGAAGGCACCACGGAGGAACAGCATGACAGGTGAGGGTTTAGGGCTTAGGGCTTTGCATGACAGGTCATCAACGTCAGCCTTCTTCTTACGGGTGCTCAGTAGGGAAAAAGGGAATCTAATCCCAATATTATCACCCTGTATAATACATTCCCTTGTCGCCTGCTAACCCCGAGTAGGCTTTTGGTTGACCAGAAATATGACAACATGATAGCTTCAGCATTGAGAGCAAGCCTTGCCTTGGATCAGTCACGCAGTTTTCCATGTCAGTAGCAGTTTGGAGAAGTGAGCACGTGGCCCCGAGACATCGAGATCCTGACATTATGGTCAAGCAGCTAGACTCAGACAACTGAGGCGTAGAGCCCCCGGTCCTCATGAAAGACGCCCTCCAGAGCAAGACGAGTAACTCCGTTGCTTCACCGAGAGTTCCTTTGGGGGTTTCCCAAAATTAGGGGTACCTTTTTGGGGGTCCCTATAATAAGGAGTATAATATTTTGGGATCTATGTTGGGGTCCCCCTATTTTGGGAAACTGCCATTTCTGTGAAGACTGGGGCCAGCTGCTCGGGGCAATTGGTGTTCTGCCATGGCCACAGCGAGCCTGGGAGATGATACTTGCAAGATCCAGGAGGCTGGAGCAGGCACTTTTGTAAATGCAGGCCATATCTTAGGAGGACCCCCCACCCTGTAATATAATCCCTATTATCCCTTATAGTCTGTTTTCAGTGTGTTGAGCCATCAGCTGGATGCTTGATCACTGCCTGGCTTCCGCGGCCGTCTTCCAAACAAGCCCCTGGCATCCACCAGTCCAGTCGTTCTCGCCCCTTCGACTTTCAGATGGTGATGGTTGGCGTACCGAAGTCCGACGCCTGCCAGAGATGCTGCATTTCTGGGTGCAAGCAGGGCTTCTTTGGAATCAGCTAAGCGGGTGGGTTTGTGCAGCTGGTACTGGCAGTTCATGTAGCGATGTTTTTCGTATCTCAATTACACTGGACTTATAGGGGTTATGCAGGGATTATATATGGGGATCATATTGGGGTCATATAGGGGCTTTCCGCAAATGTCAGGATTGCTCCACGCCGCCAGCAGCCAACTCGCCTACCCTGAGTGCAAAGGCTGGTACTGTAGCGGGCCATGTGGCAGAGTCTTAGGGGTTACATAGGGATAAATAGGGATTATGTAGGGATAATGGAAAAGAAAAGGGAAACTACTATTGAGGGTTTAGGGTTTCGGGAAATTTTTGCTCAATACTGGAGAATCAAACGGACAAGAAAATGGAACATGAAATCGAAACTGGGTTATATAGGGGTTTATAGGGTTTGGGGGTTCCCCAAAGTGTCAACTGTTTCATGGACTGTCGGGGGCGTCATGCAGTAGCTGAGTTCGTTCTCATAACACGCTCAGTCATGCAATGTAGCCGCGAACACTAGTACTCGCCTTCTGTCATGCCTGCTAGTTGAGTAGTATTTTATTTGGGGGTATTATGGTACCCAATATAGAGTAAGATTCTGTCCTCCTTTTAGGGTATAGTATTTTATATAAGGAATATAATCTTACTGGGTTTAACCACCAAAAAAATGCTACTCAGTTGTCGCAGGAGGGCTGCCTTCCGGATGTTGCCATCTTGCTGGCTCACCTGGAGTGACTGGGTCACATGAGCTATAGTCTAAACTCCTCAAATGGGGATTATATAGGGGATTATATAGGAGAGTACTATAGGGGTTATTAAGGGGAATACTAGAAATTTAGACAATGGCTCACATCAAATCATGGGGCTGTTACTTCGATTGCCTCCTTGATTGTAACTGATTTCCGTCAATCCCATCGCGTCCGGATGGTTGGAGCAAGCTTTGACTGCTGGTGTTTGGCTAGGCAGTGAATGATATGGAAGGAACTGGGGTGTGAGGATTATTGTGCAGAATGATACAGGGCCTGCTGTGGAGATCCATTCCCCGGCTCCTTGCTTAACAGGAGTCTGCAGGCGCGGAGGCTTGACATGCAAAGGAGCTATAATCTAAACTCCTGGTATCCCCCTTAATATCCCCTATCATAGTCCCCTATATAATCCCCTAAGTAACCTCCTTTGAGGAGTTTAGACTATAGGTCAATTTTCCTTCAGCCTAAACCCAAGGGCTGTGCCTCTCAACAGCCCGCCGTTGACTTGGGAAGCGCTGGCACCACCCAAGCTTCAGAAGGCGGGGCGAAGCTAGGATCATCATGGATCATCTGAGCTGTAGTCTGAACTCCTTAAAGGGGGTTATATAAGGGATTCTATAGGGGAGTACTATAAGGGGTTATTCAGGGGATTACTAGGAGTTTGGACATTTGAGCAGGAGGTTTAGGGCCCTATAATGGAGAATCAGATGGAAAAGAAAATGGAAAACGAAATGGAAACTGTGGTTATACCGGGGTTATCTTGGGGATATAGTATTTTATTTGGGTATTATGGTACCCATTATAGAGTAA